CGTGGTTTTTAATCAATTTTTTATCTTGTAGATTGATTCGAGATATAATCCAGAGAGCGTCTTTTCTTCCTCCCTCGCGGTCAGTTTTTGTTGTCTCTCTCTATCGACAGTTGTCATGTATTTGATCTCGATATCTCTTGACATATTGATGGTTGAATCGTGTTGGATATTGGACTTGGTCTCTTGATTATTGTGATAAATGTTCAAAAGGACACATGACAGTAAGTTATCATTTTGAGCAACAACTATGCAAAATCTTGCACCTTTGTTGTGATAAAGTTTGTGAAGAATTAAGGTAGCATAACTTACCAACTATATTTGATTTTTTATGTATAAATATTATGACAGACTAATATAGTTCTATAAATTATTTAGGTCCAAAATATAGAATTTGTGCTCTCTAATGATTTTTTTTCCCAACTTTCTTCCAGTTAAGGAGAAGATGCGATATTGGGTATGATGTTTTGTGGTTATGAACCATATTCACTCGAAATCACTCAATTCTATTTATTCCATAAGAGAATGTATACATAAAAATAACAGTAACCCTGTTTTTTTAGAGAAATTTGTTTATTCACTCAGTGTGTTTTCACTTTCCAGATTACAAAATGAATTGTGGCATTGCCTGACGGTCTTACCCATTTGGGGGAAAGCTAATGTCTCATTTGCTTACTTTTACTCTTGAGTAAATCAATTGTTATTTCCATTTTAATTTGATGTATGTCTTCTTCGTTTCTTACATATTACTTTTGATATTATAGAGACACAGATCATTAGTGGAGGTTGATTATACCTACGACACTGGCAACCCTCTTTGGAGTTCTTTAGAAGTGATTCTCATAAGTCTTTTTATAATTTTTGTTTGCTTTTTATTAGAAGTGAGAGATCAAAACCACGAAAGAGAATCTGAAGAAGTGATGTCTTAGTAGCTTCATTTCTTTTATAACTTTTACGTAATTTGTGTACATTATTTATATGCTTTGTATTATGGGTTGGTTTATTTTATAAGATCACATATTTTGAAGTAATTTTGACGTGAAAACTTGTGTTTCCAAAATGAAAAACTCAGAGATGGTTTTGGAGACTTTACAATCCTATATGGAATCGTTAGACCGTTAAGTGAAAACTATATATTGTTATGTGTTTGACCGCATAACTTCTACACTTTCTAACACATTAAAAAAAATCACTAAAATACATAATAATTTTTAAAGTTTTTCACCACTTTTAAAATTTTATAAATATTAAAACAATTTTTTTCAAGTTAAAACTATATCTTGAGAAAGAAGAAGAAGAACGATGCATATTTAATATTTATAAATGATATAATTATGTAATTAAATATCAAAATTAACGTAATTCGCTAAAAAGTTTCGTATCCGCATACGGTGCGGGTCGATCACGTAGTTATATAATAAATGTTATAACTGTGGCTGTAAATGTTCACTTTCATTTGACCTGAAATGTCCATAAGAATATGTTAAGTGTTTTTTATTCTCTTTGTCGGGCCGACGCCTCATTCTTCTTCTCCGGCGAAGTAAAGATCTGGTGCAGGCTATTGGATTCTCCTCCTATTTGTTGTTCCTATAATTTCGTGCAAGAACTAATGTTTTCTTTTGCTTATCTACTCCTTTATGGATGGGCCTATATTTCGCTACCGACAGAGCTAGTGGTGATGCATCGGAGGTGCCGCTTCTATTA